TTGTATACATCTCTTATTCAAGAGGAGGAATCCTATTGGCAACAGAGGTCTAGGATTCAATGGCTAAAAGAAGGTGATAATAATACCTCTTTCTTTCACAAAACAGCCTCTTTCCATAAGAAGTCCAATTATATTACTAATATCATACATCAAGGACAAGTTCTCACTGATAATCAAGATATCAGACAAGCTTTTCAGGATTACTACTATAATCTCTTTGGTCAAGCCAATTCTAGGCACTTTTCTATTGACTGGTCTTATTTATATCCTGATCAAGAGCCTCATCTCCCATCTTTGGAAAATCCTTTTTCCGAATCAGAAATATATAATGCTGTCTTCAGTATGAATCCCAACAAAGTTCCAGGTCCAGATGGATTCTCTATGCTTTTTTATCAGAGCTTCTGGAATGTTATCAAAATTGATCTCATCTCTATCATGAACTCTTTTCATCAAGATCCATCTTCTCTCCACAGAGTTAATAAGGTATACATTACTCTTATTCCAAAGCTTAAGGATAGCTCTTTGATGAAGGATTTCAGGCCTATCAGTTTAATAAACTGTTTATTCAAAATCTTCACTAAAATCCTCGCTAACAGATTATCCCCTCTTATGTCCTCTTTGGTTTCTCCTACACAATTTTCTTTTCAATCAGGGAAATCTACTTTGGACTCGAGCCTTATAGCCAATGAATTTATTCATTTTTGTTCCAAAAGGAAAAAAGATGTTTCAATGTTGAAAATTGATTTCGCAAAAGCTTTTGATTCTGTTGATTGGTCCTTTATCATTGATCTGCTTCAAGCAAGAGGGTTTGGTGCCAAATGGTGCTCATGGATTTATCACATTATCTCATCATCTAATTGTGCAGTTCTAGTTAATGGTCATCCTACAAATTTTTTTAACTGCAAGAGGGGTCTTAAACAGGGTGATCCTTTATCACCTATGCTTTTCAACATATCAGTTGATGTTCTAAACAGGATGATTATGAATAATGCGGAAGATGGTACTTTATCTACTCTTGGTATTAAGGAACCTCTCAATCATATAAGGAGTCTACAATTTGCAGATGACACCATTCTTTTTGTTAAAAGCTCCTCCAAAGATATATCAGTACTGAAAACCATTCTTTATATCTTTGAAGAACTATCAGGATTGGGTATCAATTATTCAAAGTCTTCTTTGATTCATTTTGGTAGAAATACCCAAAGAGGAATTGATCTAGCTTTGGTTATTAATTGTAAAGTGGGTTCTCTGCCAATCAAATACCTTGGTCTACCTTTAAAATGTGGGAAATTATCAAAATCTGATTGGCAACCAGTTGTAGATAACCTTCATAGAAGACTAGCATCATGAAAAAGGAATTATCTTTCTTTTGGTGGGAGATTGGTCCTTTTGAACTCCGTCCTTACATCTATACCGCTTTATTATATGTCTTTTTATAAGTTGCCTAAATGGGTGATCAATGAAATAGACAAAATCAGAAAGAACTTCTTATGGACAGGAAAGATTGAAACTAAAAGCTTTAAATGCCTAGTTAATTGGAAAAAGGTATGTTCAAGCAAAATTGAAGGAGGTTTGGGAGTAAAGGACATTAACATCTTCAATAACTCTCTTTTATCTAAATGGTTGTGGAAGTGCTTGGATAGAGATTCTTTTGTAGGGTCTTTTCTTCATCACCTATATATCAACAGAGATTCCTTTCTACAGACCTTACGTCCAAAATCATCAAATTCAGTTTTTTGGAATGACATCATAGCTCATAAAGAGGATTTTCTTCATCATATTTTTTGGCATCTTGGATCTGGAGACAAAATTAGATTCTGGGAGGATAAGTGGCTAGGACATAATTCTCTAGCTAGTCTTTTTCCTTCTATTCATAAGCTTTCTTTTTCTTCTAATATATCCGTGAGAAGTCAGGGTTTCCTTCAAAATAATAAATGGCAATGGCGACCTGTGTTGAGAAGGAGTTTATCACCTACCTCCCATTCTGATAGAGTTAAGTTTATACAGCTGCTAGGTATGCTTAACATATCAAATCAACATGATCATCCAACCTGGTCCCTCACATCTAATGGAATTTTCACTGTCAACTCTTTTTATAAATTCCTAGTCTCGAGAGGTATTAGATCTTCATTCTACAATCTTACTTGGAATCCTATCTTGCCTAGCAAGATCAAGGTTTTTACATGGCTTCTATGTCTTAATAGATTGCAAACAAAGGAGATTATTATGAAGAAAGGCTGGCAAGGTGATTCTGTGTGTTCTTTTTGTAGACAACAAACTGAATCTCGAGATCATCTGTTCTTCTTATGCCCTTTATCATTACAAGTGTGGAGTCATTTCAAAAAAATTCCATTACCATTTCAATGGCCTTCCTCTCTTGTTGACCTTATTTATATCTTAGAGAACCTTCAAAGTACTACAGGATGTATGTGGCGTATCATTTTTT